TTTTTGGGAAGAGCTGACCCGGCGTGAAGTAGAAAAATGTTCAAACAAGCCAGATCTGACTATCTGAGTGGAACCTCTCTACAGTCAAAGCATTTATAACTAATTCATTATTAATTTTGAATTGCTCGAAAACGGCTAATTATGCCGACTATCCTCGTATAAAGCCCCGTTTACACGACCAATTTTTATGTGACAATTTTTCATATTTTTATGCGAGAAATGTATTTAATTGGTCGTGTAGATGAGACAACAATTAAATAATTGTAGATGCACTTGATTCCTGTTTAAAAAATATCTATGAACAGCGCAACCAAACATGGCGCGGACACTAATTATACTTTTACAAATATGGCGGGAGAAAAACTATCACATTTTATGTGACAAGTAATCTACACGAGCAATTTTTCGTATGTGACAACTTTTATTTGTCATATAAAAGCTAACGCGCTAGCTTTTCAGCAACTGTATTTGCCACGCAAAAATTGCCCAATCTTCCTCGTCTACACGAGCAAATAAAAATTGTCACATCAAAATTGTCACATAAAAATTGCTCGTGTTAACGGGGCTTTAAGTGTCTATTATGCTTCTGAAGCCCTAGCTATTATGCTCGAAATTATGCCGCATAATTTACCCAAGCCTAGCCTGTAATCCATTAAGTTTCAGGTTGTCCGGAACAAGCGGTAGGAAGACATTCTGCCCTTAAAATAGAACCCTTCAAATGAATTAAATCTTCATTCAGACAAAACTTTCCCTGTAAAATTTGCCAGAATTTTAGTATCGAAGCACACTTACTCGGCTAAGTTGAATGCACTTAATTAAACAAATGAGTTAACTTTCGGTGCTATAAATATAACTCATGTTATAATAAGTATTTTAATAAGTTTTGTCGCTCTCCAATACCCTCGCTTCAAGTGACAAAAAATTCGTTTTGATATAGATATATTTCCTGACCTTCGGCATATTTTGACCCACGACCTTTAGCCAAGCTCATTAATTAATCACCCATTGTGAGGAAGGATTAAAAAGGATTAAAGGAGGTGCGATCTAGCGAAGTGTCAAAATGGACGGGCATTCTATACAGGGTGTATAAGAAAAACGCAACCTCGGAATTTCCCAAGAAAACGACATGGTTTTAAAGACAAAATATTTTAGGCGCCTGGGAATTTAAAATAGCACAACTGTCAAAATTATTGCACACGCGAGTGCATAAAGCAAAATTTATGCATTTATTTAATGCACAACAACAGTAATATGATCTATTAGCAATTCGATTTTTATTCCCAGGGGCTTAAAATTAGGAAATTCCGAGGTTGCGTTTTTTTTATACAAACCGTATCGGTTAGGTGGAAAACGCGGACAGGTATAGGTATAAAAAATGTATAAAAGTGACATTCGAAATTTCCATCTACAAAACCCATCAGCAATTAATTCTATCGAGTACCTATTATGAGGAAGTTGTCGCTGTTCGCAAAGGATTAAAGAAGGTGCGAAGTGTCAAAATGGACTGGCATTCTATATCATAATAATGATCCCGACGAATAAATAGTTGCAAAACTATACCTGCGCGTGCGATCAACTGTACCCCTAGTGTTGATCGGCAATCACAAGTTAGTCATGATCAGCTACAATTTTGCACTGAGAACTTAACCTTGAAGCAGGGAAGTAAATACTTCCCTGCTTCATTGGTCTTCATATGGGGCTATTCATGTCCTGTTGACCATACCTTCAACCATATTATGTAGTGTTTTAGTCTATTTTATGTATGGTTGTAAAGTTAATAAATAAATAAAAGTAAAGCATCAAAATACCTGATAATATATACGTATGGGTATGTATATCAAATTACTCTGTGATTCCTCACTTATAAAATATAACCCAGTATCATTCGTGATGACAATTAAAACATATGTAGTTGAAACTTGAATATATGAAAACGTTTTCTGAATTGCCGTTGTTTTGTATTTTGTAAAGATTCTGAGTGGATTTTTCAGAATCTTCAATACTGTAAGTAAAATACATGGAATTTATTGTGTAATTATGACATCACACCTGCAGATATAGCTTTCTGAATGTAAATATGACATCAATTCTGCAGAAAACGAGCTTCTTTACATGCAGAACATATAAAGCCATGGCCCATGGCGAGATTTGTTTTTGTAACTAAAAAAAGAAGCGAAATACACTAAACGAGCTGACAAACTAAGACAGAGAAAAGAGAGAGAAAAATACAACCTCGGCATTGATAACTTTCAATATCACGCGAAAATTATTAATTATTGTCGTAATAGATTTTTTGAAGTTTAGTAAATTTCGTGTCCGCATGTCCGCGTTTTCCACTTGACTTGCGTGTCCGCGTCCGCATGTCCGCGTTTTCCACTTGACTGGCGTGTCCGCGTGTCCGCATGTCCGCGTGTCCGCGTTTTCCACCTAACCTTTGTCACCTTCAAACCTGGTTATAATCTCATAGTAACAGGATAAGCTTGTCAACAGCTACAAAAAAGGCGATATCCAATAGTCCAAAGTTCAAATGTTTCCCTGCATGGGTACGTGTAAACCGAATGAAAGATCAACTGACCAATCATATGTCAACAACGAACACGCAGAACAAAGGTCAATGTGATAACTAAGGGAGTTCACTTTGACAAATATCCCAACAAAGAGCAATGTCTTGTTACCGAGAAAGAAAATTTGAAAATTTGACTTGGTGTGGAGCTGTAAAGAATTACGGACATCGAATGAACTGAAGCAATGTGACAGAAAAGAGTTTATGAACGCTGGAATTGACATATCATGGTTATAAAGAAAATTTGGTCAGTACCTCAGTATGATAATTCAGTGAGACGCAGTTTATTCAAAATATAGAACTCTACCGGACAAGCGCTTTTACTGTTCTGGTGGACAAAGGAATACGTTTGCTCAAGTCCCGACGAAGTTATTACCATTTAATGAAACCGCCGCTGGGGGAATAATAACAAGATCGATAGGCTGAAGCCGCTAAACACGAAATCAACAAGCGTCAGTTGATATCATTCCGTGTCTCATGCACATGCTTCCTAAAGTGAAGCGGTATTCGGCGCGTAAGTATGCGGTGTCTTGACACGTTTGTTTCGTATTCCACTTCTCAAATCAACCAAAATGTATTAAATTCGTCTATTTTATAACAACACTCTGGTGTATTATTTGTTGATCAAAAAATTCCAATGACAATTTTATTATCATCCGAGGTTAGCCGCAGATTAGGCTTCAGATTACGCCTCAGATTTGGCGTTGGATTGGGTTTCAATCAGGCCTTTACATTAAACTGTATTCAATCGCTCAAAAGTAGAATTATAAAACTTCTTCAGTTTTCAGCTATTTCACAAAATTGACCTGCATACATTGTCAATACTTTACTGTTCAAACTTAAGAAAGCAAGCTCATTTGTGAACGAAATTTAAGACTTTAAACTCTGCGCATATATGTTTGTGTATATTTGCGATAAATCGGCAAGATGGATATCATGAAAGATTGGTACGATAACATGTATGCCTACGCTCATGAAAATTGTATTTTGTCTACCAAATACATATTATTTTACAATTTCTGCTAATATCATGAATGCATGATTGCATGGATGTTCGATCGCAACGCTGTGGGTATAAGCATTTTGGTCCTGCTATTTTGAATTAAAGTAATGAATAAGCTATTTTTCTGAGAGTAATGTCACATAATTCGAAAACGTTCCACCAATCATAGATGGATATCATGAAAGATTGGTATGATACCATGTATGCCTACGCTCATGAAAATCCTTTGATGTTCTATTATTTAACTGCATAATCTATTTTGTCTACCAAATACATATCCTTACAATTTCTGCTATAATATCATGAATGCATGATTGGATGTTCGGTCGCAACACTGTGTTTATAAGCACCTGAATGGCATTTTGGTCCTGCTATTTTGAATTAAAGTAATGAATAAGCTATTTTTCTGAGAATAGTCACATAATTCGAGAAAGTTCCACCAATCATAATTGAAATAAAATAAGTGTAGTTAACAGATAAATGTTGTGCAAAACGTATTCATGAATTCATTAACATTTATAATAATAAAAAATAATAATAATAATAATAAATAAATAAATTGTGCCTTGATGGTGAGCTTTGTTTGTCGTATTACCAACCCTCCAATTAAGAAATTGTAAGATAGAAGCTTTGTGAAGAAACTGCTGGTTGTCTTGGCCCCATCCAGGTTTCCTGTATATATAGCAGTTTTTCTGGCCTACCTGACTATCCAGCTACTGTATAGTATGAGTGATGGTAACGCCCAAATATATGTCGACTAACTATCATCTGGCAGCAGCTGTCTTGTATACGAATACAGCTGTGGTGGGAGTTTGTCTATGGGGAAAACACATGCTGTGTATTTGTGGGGTTGAAGTGTTCCCAATGGTCAACTTCAGGCCCATAGACTCAGTTATTTATGTAAATATAGTCAGTCGAATCGTAGGGACTGTCCAAGGGGGTTATGACCCCTTGGTTCAGGTTGATGTTAGAGGGGCTCGCTATCCTTCTGGCAGGGCTCTATTTGGGCATTATGAGCCCTAGCGCATTCAGTCTCCCCTAGCAGGTCTTATATATACCCCTGCGGGATGAGAACATAAGGCTTAATGAGTCTTTGGGTTGACCAGAGTTTGAAAGTATAATGTATATAATTGGTTCACTTCACCCTGAACCCATTCTCCCACAATGATTTGGTGTGTGTTTACTTATTCTCGGGCTGTTTTTTCACCTAACGTGCTTGAATCATTAATTATGTCACAAATCCCTCCTTTATTAATTTACAGAAGCCTTATTCTGATAAATACTCCCGAGTTCCGAATCCTGGGAGAAGCAGGCCAATTCTTATAAAGAGTTGATCGTTCTAACAGTTATTAATTTACATTAATTTATTACATGTTTGTCTCAATCATTGATAATCCATGTTTGATACACATCAAGGGTGATATAGTACTATAGATTTAAAATATACAGTAAAGTGCTGAAATAACACTGATCTAATCCCTATTATTTGATCTGTGGGATTAACCCATTGAGTCACATTGCACCTTGATACTCCATACTTTATTATTTTACTCTGTCTAATGCCAGACGATCAAGGCTGGCGAGAGGGGGGGGCAGGCAAAATACCCGGGGCCCGGAGTGCTCAGAGGGGCCCGGAAATCTCGGTAAAATGTTCGTATTGTTTATCAATTATGTTTGTCCTAAATGAAATACGCCTAGTTGCACACTATCCAAACTTGATCATCGTCATCGATCTTAAAACGTAGCAAATGTGAAATAAACGATTTTTCGATCGTCTTTAGCAAAAACCGTTAGCAAAAACAGTTAGCTGAACATCGTTCACATTGCGTTTTTATCAGTTATGCGGCGATTTCTTGCAAGTAATTCGCTGGCAATTCTCTTGTTTATTGCGATTAAAAATAGCCAGCGGGAGAGTCAAGAGGGATAGCGGGCCCGTGTTCACGAATCGTTGTTTTGTCCCGGGGCCCATGGTTGGCTCTCGCCGGCCTTGCAGACGATTTTACTTGTCAAGGGGAGAGCGCTTGCGCTTAATGGGTTAACTGGCCTTATATCTGCCCATGTGTCTACTTAACCCATTGAGTCGCACAGCCCTATAAGCGAGATCTCGCTGTGTAGTTATATTTTTTAGAGTAAAAATTATTGTTTGTTTATATGCGCATTGGACAAGTGGGCTGGTCCGATTGTCGAAATCTCGCTTGAAAGAGCTGTGATCTCGCTTTATACCAGGATGGAAATATCTCCATATAAACACTCACAAGCAGGTTAGCCCATTTGCCGGGATGAAAGTTCAAAGTCACTGCCACAAGCTATTTTTAATTTACTGTCAAAACAATATCAAAATAACAAATTTGTTCCGGCAATTAAGTGGGATGAATTTTCTCATATAAACACAAGAGAAATTCATCCCGCTTACCAGGCTGTCTCACTAAGCAGGCCAGCCTGGCTTCCATATAAACAGGCCCAAAATTGAGAATCTTGGTTAGATCGATGTGCACCTTAAGTCTATAGCTTAATAATGGTCATGCATATAATTTGGTCATGCATATAATTTTCCAGTGAATCAACTCTTTAGTATATACATTTCTCTTTAATATATAGTATTTTCTTCAAAGGATTCTAGTTGTTTGACGCCTGTACATATTATTTCATACAAAGCCTGAAAGCCGCCAGTGTTTATAGTATACATGAATACTTTCATACAAAAGTTACAAATCGTCGGGAAAATCTTACCATTAATCACACGGTTGAACGGTTCTGTGCTGGCCAGTCTCATTCTGAAACGCAAGCTTCTTCATTTACATCTTCGACCCCTATCTTTAATACTATAAAAACATGCTTGTCACTTTATAAACAAAATTAATTCTAAATTTTATTAGCAAAATATAAGGGCAGCATAATTATATACGTAGAACTTCCGCTTTCTCAGATACTGCCTCAATATGACGTCATTGCTGCCGCCTTACGCAGAAAAATTTTTTGGGATCACTTTAAGGCTTGGTTACCAAGCACTGAGCTATATAAATACAATGGATAATTGGTTATCATTACGTAATACGTATCGGCGATACGGTATCGCGTAATAAAGTATTGTATTTTAATAATAAATGTAAACCTTGTTATTCATCTTTAAGCCTGGAAATGATATTTAAAGTTCGTTGTTGTGGTTGTTCTTCCGAATCTTGCTTTGTCTACATTCGCTGGCGAACAAATTTCGAGCAAATTTCAACAAAGATTGAAATTTCATTTCGATACTCCTAAAAATTCTTCGGGATAATTACTTATTGCTTTCTATTTGACAGAAACATGGTTTCATAATATCATTTGACAAGTATTTGTATTAGGTTTTAGAAAAGATTTTGATTTGTCGTAATTTTATACAATGTCAATGTACTAGTTAGTAAATAATACCAAGATCCAACTTGGGAACAATAGTGCAATTTGCACCAGCTTCAGCCCGAGATTCATCATTTTTTGAATGTATATAACAACAACCTCGTTCCCAGGGTCTTTAGGAAAGACCCTGGTATCGGCTGGTCACGTGCCTCGTCCAAAATTGATTGCCCGAGGGGGGGGGTGGTGAAAGTATCAAATTACAAACAGTTAAAAACATAAATTTTGCGAACTACCTTAGCAGTAAGTTCAAAATACTTGCTAATTTTTGTTTATTTTATTTGCATTGAATTTACAAGAACATTCTTACATTTTTACCAACAGTCAAGTCAAGAAACCAAGCAAATCGCAACCTCGCAACCCTGGTTGACACTGGTCACGTGACCACCCAGATTCTGGGTGGTATCTAATAGGCGCCTCTTTTGCTACTTAGGGAGGAGTGGTAGGGGTAATATGACGCTGGAATATATATATGTATATAATATATAGTTATAAATAATTATATAGTAATACTGTTACAGTAAACAGTGGGTAAACTATTGATATTTTAAACATAAGAGGAGATTTTTAAAACAAAATATTATTTTAAAATATGTGGCGGCTTTTAAACTTAAAAGCTTTTTACTCCTTTTCGGCAATTACAACGTTAGAGGATCTTTCGCACCTTGACCTTGTCAGCCGGTATTTCTTCAAAGAAACACCTATCTGTAGAAAATAAAATACGAAGGCTAACGCGTAAACAATCAATTCAGTTCTGAGTAGCTACAAGCCATGGCTGAGCGAAAAGAAACACCAAAGAAAGTTTATCCGAAATCTGCTATAGATTCGGGATGTAAGTGTCGTCTCTGTGGTGGGATTTTCGAAAAAGCACGCTGTAAAAATCTTTTTAAAAAGGGGAACGAAGGTCGCTTGTGAAGCGCAGAAATTGTTAACGGTGGCGCCCTTATCTGCGAGGAAGGATTTCCTCATCTTTTATGTCGGGCTTGTGATAGACGCTTGGAGAACTTTGAGAAGTTTAGAAAAGTTGTTCGTGACGTGCAAAA